CTTTGTTCGTGTATACTTGTATTTACGAGAAAAATTTTCTGCGTGTATGCACTGTACAGTGTATTTAAACAATTATATTCACATCCATTAGGTCAATTGTAATTTGATACTAAATAAATAATTTTATATTACCATCTCCCTCTTCATATAATTGAATTTCTTCTAGTCGCTTAGCAAACGTTTTATCTTTCATAACTCGTTTTGTCAATAATGTTTCTAATTTCTTAGACAGTTCGGGCCATTTACTATAAATATTTGATTTTTTATTGATTAAAGAATTGTAATCATTCTCTAACTGAAATAAAAAATAATATTATATAAATGTTTTTAAAAAATAATATAATAAAAATAAATTTAACATTGCTTACAAGTGTGTAACCTAATTCCTGTTTGAGTACTGGATATTCACTGAAAATATCATAAATATTTACTTTATGTTCTGCAATTAAAATATGTCTCAATTCACGAGATTTGTTCCAATGTTCCTCTACAGATGACCAAGGTGCTGTGTTGTATTGCAACCACTGCAAGTGTGTTTTGCAAACACGCTTTGCTGTAACATGTAAATATATATTTATATATGTACACATATATATATTCTTTTATAAAATATTTTTGGAAATAAACATTATATATATATATATATATATATATATATTTTTTAATTTATTTATTTATTTTCAAAAATGTTTCATAAAACAAATTAACGTAAAATTAATTTACAAAATATTTAAAAATATAATTTTAAACATTTGCAATTTTTCAAAAAATATTTTTTTTATTGTAATTACTTGTAAGATTAATGTTTGATTCAAGAATATCGTCAATATCGTCAATCCTTTTTCGTTTTTTTTGTACAAGACCAATTTGACGGCACTCATCTAGTTTATTTCTATAAAAGTCAGGTAATTTTCCTTTAGATACTTTTTGGGAAGGTCCTTCACATTTTGGTGGAACATAATAGAAAGCTTGACGCTCATTTGGGAACAAGTTGTTGATTTTATGCGATAAAATATCAAAATCACCATTTACCAAGCGAACTCTAAGAACATTAGAACATATTTATGTAATGCATATTATGAGTATAGAGTAAAAATATTTCATCAATAAATAAAATATTTTGCATTTACATTTCTGTAGTGTCTCCAGATTTTTGATACATAAAATGAGTAACAAGCAGATCAGTTAGTTTTCTACGTTTGGCTTCATCAAGTATGTTATGCTTTTCATAAAATTTTATAATGATTTGTCCATCTATAAAATTTGATAAGAGTCTTTCCACATCTTATAAAAATTGATAAAATAAAATACAAACATATATACTACTTTGTTTACAATTATGATCATATCTTAAATGAAAATGTTACCGTATTTTGAATCGTTGCAGAATGACTTGGGCAAACGCATACAATTTTATTTTCTTTATTTGGATTGTCAGTTTTATCAGTTGACTTTGATTTTTTAACATCAAATTTTCTTAATGTTGAATTTGTATTCTCTTTTTCGTTAGTCGATTCATCTGATGAATGTAATACATTAGCAGCATTATGAGATTCATTTTCAGAATTAACATCATCATTGATGGTTGTATTTAATATTTCATCACTTAGAAGGCCTTTGTTGAAATGTGATGTCTGTTAAGAAAGAAAAATGTTGATGAATATATTTCTTCCGATTAATCATATCTTATAACGGTTTTACTATCATTTACTATTTATTTTTATTTTAATGCATTTGTATTTATTTTTGTTTTAATAATTATATTTTTATTTTTAATGAAAAAGAGTATTATTATTCAAAAAATACAACATACTGAAACTGCGTCGTTATTGTCAGATAATTTAGAAAACCTTGTTTCTTTTGACTCAAAACTTGATTCTTGATTCTTTTCTTGTAAACACAAATCAGACTTTGCTCTCACTGTTAATGATTTCGACAATTGTTCATTTTGGCATGATAACGATTTTTCTGGTT